TTCTTCTTCTTCTTCTTCTTCTTCTTCTTCTTCTTCTTCTTCTTCTTTTGCAACATGGCTAATATGGAAATATGTCTTGCAGAACTTCTCATGTATTAGTGATATCATATTGCTTGCCTTCTCAATGAGTGGTGAAGGAGCAGGAGGGAGGGGGAGAATTTGGAACTCAAAATGTTTAAAAAATGTTAAAATAAAGTATAATTATTTTAAAAAGAAAACTGCAGTCTAATAATTTAATTTTCACACAAGCTAATTTCTCTGCCCAGTACTATCTTGTTGTACTTATCATAAAGGAGACCAGTAGCCTCCCCAAATGCAATTAATTACCTCGTGAAGCAGCTCCTGGGAAAAGTGGCAGGGTGGGTTGTCCTTTCCTTGCCAATTGAGTGGGTTAGGAGGTGGGTTGTTGGTCATAATCAATAACGTCTTATTCTGGTCAAATTCTGTCACTCGGGACGTGAATCTTTTTATTTTTCGATTTCTACCCAATAACTTGTGCGATTCTGTGACCTTGAGAGGCTCATAATACTGGATCTGAGCAGAGGGAAAGGTGTCCAGAGAGAAGAAGGTATTAGAGGACGAGTACAAGAAGACTGACCATCAATGGGACTACATTCCCTGGACCCTTCGGGAAAGGATGTGTGCCAAGTAGAAGCTGGGAGGAGATCTATTCTATAGCTTAGCAGAATGAGTATAAAATACAGTGAAAAGAAGGCTGGATTTGAAATTGGAGGCTTGGGTCCAAATCCTAGTTCTGTTTCTATATGTATGGCCTTGGGCAAGACATTTCACTTCTGGCCTATTTCCTCATCTGTAAAACAAAGAGGTTGGAACAGATATTCTCTAAGCCTGAGCTGATGATGCTAAGACAAACCAAAATCGCTAGGGAGTTTTAGAAGTTCTAGGAAAAAGGAATAAGAAGAGCTGACTCCTATGAAGGGAGGCTGCTCAGGAGGACAATTTTATTTTCTCTCTAATTCATACGTTTTTTCCCACAGTCAAAAAGCTACATTTAGCATTTAGCAAATATAAGAGAGAAATTGTGGCACAGAAGTATTGTAAGACAGACATGTTTAGAATCATAGATTTGAGGCAGGCGAGGATCTCTGAGATGATTTAGGTCAACTCCTTCGTTTTCTGGACGCGGAAACTTAATCTCAGAGAAGTTAAATGAATGACTTGTGTCCACACAGGGCCCACAGGTAATATAGGTGGCCAGAGCAGGATTCACACCCTGCTCCTCTGACTACAAATGTAGCACTCATGGCAGTGCCCTTCATCCTAAGCTATAGAGTCAATTTTCCCAACCTCTCCTTTCTCCATTCCCCACATCTCCCATCTTCCCTAGAACTTTTTGCTAACAACTGCTCTGTTTCCAATGCAGGAATAAGTACAGAATGATTATCTCTGAAATACTAATAAAAGTGAGGCATATAATCTTTTTTTTGAAAGAAGTTATCCAAGGAATGAAGGCAGTCTTCAAGTCATTATTTCCATTAACAACACACTGCAAGATAGAAAAAAAATTAATCCTCAGTGTATTTGTGGCACCAGAAAAAATAGATTTTTATCACTGGGAAGTTGAAAGACTTCAGGCCACTGGCCTTAGCTTCTGGAAATCTCTCCACCCTTTAGCCACATCCTGTTATAAATAGTTTCTCCGTTCAGAGTCTCAAAAGGGTCTCTGATAAGGCAACAGAAATCCCTGGGGCTCTATCACATCTGTGGTATTAATGAGTTTTTTGTGCCAACCTTTAGGGAAATAAGTCCTTACAAAAAAGGTGGAATCATGGCTTTTGTTTAAACAGCAGTTTTGAGTCGTCAATATGTTCTGAACCATCTTGCATTTGGTAGTTGAGAGGTGTTCCTTCAGGTTTCCTGTAGTACGAACTTCCAGGCAAACCATTTCACTGTGGCAGGGCAGAAGAAGGGATAGGCACCCAGGATCCTCAAGGATTATCACTTGACAGGGTCATCCCTAAGAGGCATCTCTGAGTCAGAGCAAATCACACTATATGGCACATTCTTCTCACTGCCCTCTTCTCTTTCCCCCAATATTTTTAGCCTGATGAAATCAGGATAAAATGAATATGCAAAGTAGCATAGTACAATGGAAATGTAAAAACGAGGGGGCTGGACTAGTTGGTCCCTTCCAGTCCTAGTCTATGATCTGAAAAGGCAACTGGAATTTGGAAATAAGTTACAAAAGAGTGACAAGAAGCCTATGTGTGTGGTATTTGTAGAAACTGAGGAGCTATTTGCCTGATAGCTAGGTAAGTAAGATAACCAAATAATACAATGTTTTGTGTGTAGTTGGGGCTCAATAAATGTTGGATGAATGAATTCAGTGTGAATCTCAACTTTTTTTTTTAAACATGAGCTGACATGAAAGCCTCCCTGAGCTTCCTTAATTACCACCCAGTTGTAGCAGGGCAGAAGTGGATGGCTGCACCAGAGGGACAGAGCCTAGAATTTAGAGCTGAAAGGGTTTTCCCTCATTTTACATATGAGGAAACTGAAGCTCAGAGAGGGTAAGTGAAAAATATACTTTAAAACTACATTTAGCATTCAGAACAAAATAAAAGAGAAATTGTGGCATGAGGAATTGAATCCCCAGCACTTGGCACAATGCTGGCACATAGTAGGTACTTAATCTTAAAGCAATGCTTACTCCTTTCAGACCACTTTTCATTTATGAATGTTTAGAATCATAAATTTTAAGGAGGAAAGAATCTCAGAGTTGATTTAGTCCAACCTCTGCCCAAGGTCACACTGAGAATAACTAAGCTGGGATTTGAAACCAGAGACTCTGATTACAGCTCTCTTTCCAATACATTATAATTTTGCTCTTGGACTGGAAATAATCTCATCCACAGAGAATAAGGGGAGGAAGAAACATATTGGAAAATACTTTTGCACTTCTTTGCCGTGATTCAGTCTTTGGGATGCTATCTTCTACTGTCAGAAGAATTATCAACATTGATGGGATGAAAAGATATAAGATATTAAAAAAAAACCTATCTCTGCTTGCATATAAGTAAAGCAAAATCCTTCTGAATGAGAGGCTATAGTGTGTACTTAATGGTTAGCCTGGGTTTTGACAGTGGCTTATTTTATTTTTTTAAAGAGAAAAAGAAATCAAGCATGCAAAATAATAATAATAAAAAAAAGAGGTCAGCCCTGCAATAGCTGTGGAGGCAGTGTCAAGAAGGGCCAAGTTCAGCATCATAATTAAACCCCTGCTTGGTTCCTGAGGGAAGAGAGGAAGTAAAGCTTAGGGAAGATGTCTTCCCACCTACCAAATTTGGGTGGATTGTGTAGTGTTCAAGGTTTCTTAAGACAAACTTTGACTTCTCTTCATCACCTGATACAAAGAGAACAAAAGAAGAGTTAGTGATTTGTACACAGGTCATGGTTACACAGTAAACCACAGAGGGACCAGCCACCATTACAGGAAACTCTTTTCCCCACTTCCCAAGCACAAGATTTGACCAGTACAACCTTTCCACACCTCATCGCAGCCCCATCTCCTCTCCAGACGAACTGGCATCTGGAGTGAGCATTCTCCAACACCAGTTGTCAAAAACTACAAATTCAGAGTACTTCCCTACAATGGCACCTGGGCCACAATGCAATTAGTGTGATGTTTCTTGGTGGAGTGGTCACCCTGCACAAAGATGATTCCTGGACCAAACTGACACCAAAGAATGAGCCATTGTGGAGAGGACAGGTTTATGTTGCAGTTTGCTCAGGCCCTCTCAAGCAAAATGCTCAGTCAAGGATCTAAGGGAAATAGGAAACAGCAGGGTTCAGAGGCGAGAGAGCTGTTGAAAGAACCAAATCCACCCCTCACTCCCTACTCACCCTGAAAACCATTCCACTTAATTCCCTTCATCTAAAACTAAACACAGGGGCAGCTAGGTGGCACAGTGGATACTTCCTAGCTGTGTGACTCTGGGCAGGTCACTTAACTCCAATTACCTCACTTAAAAAAAAAAAAAAGAGTTCCCTATATAAAACTAAACACAATTGGACCTCTGAGTCCAGCATCTGATGACTCAGAAGCCTACTCCAGTTTCATAGATGAAAAGTGGTCTGAAAGGAGTAAGCATTGCTATAATACTAAATAAGGCTGGTTGTAACTGGAGACCATTAATGACTAGCCTTTGTGATCAGGATTGGAGAAACAAGAAATTAAGTCTTTTTGGTCCAAAGTTGGATGAATATGGGGAGAATCTTCGATCTAGATGTCATCCATTTCCTCATGTTTACTGTAGTCCTGGACACTGGGTGTTTAGCCTGATAGTAACAAAGCATTTCTTGGGAAAGAAAAGCAGTCATTCTACTTCTGTTAACAGAAATGTAGGTGAGTTGGATGAAAGAAAGGTCTTATACCAAGTCACTTTCTTATAACTAGAGACCTCAAGAATACTCCAGAATTAGTCCCTCTTCAGTGCTAAATGCCAGTAAGGTAGAGATGCTACTCCCTTACTGAACATGGGACTTTGTGATTGGTTGATTTGATCTCATTTGTCCCTATTCCCTCAAGTTGCATCTATTACTTGAACAGAACAACAACAATGAAAATAGAAATGTTCCAGGAATTCCTAGAAGAAAATCCACAAAAGGATTTCATCCATCCCTTCTCTATCTCTGTAACCTGGTACTAACATATCCAGACCTATGAAAATCCAATGTTCCACAGATGCCTCCAACTTAACAATAAGAATAAACGTTTGCAAAGTACTCTACTTATTTTAACTCATTTGATTATCACAACACTCCTATAAGGGAGGTGCTATATAGCTATTATCCCCGTTCTTACATTTTTGCACTTTTTCTTCTCCCAAGCTGGTCTCTCCCCCGAGGTACATCAATTTTCTTCTCTGTTTATTATTCACAAGTAATTTATGATCAGCAAAAACTATACCATTTGGGGAAAAGAGCATGTAAGGTTCATTTCCATTACCAGTAATTTAGCTAGATTACAAAAATCTGGGGCATCTCTAAGAGGCTGGAAAACTCAACTAGCAACAGATAAAGTGGTCATTTTTCTCTACCTAGTTTAATTTCTCTGTAGAATATATTCCAGGTAATCCCAATTACTGAGCAGATACCCTTTAATAAAAGCTGAGATGGTTTCTACCTCATCCCTCAGCAAGCTATGCATGTAATAGTATGTTTGAAGAATCTTATCATCAAGCAACCTAAATTAAATCTCAAGTTAATTCAACACTAGACATGGGACTCCTGCTCTCAGACCTAGTTGTCCACCATCTAAGCAGGGGAGACACTCTCATCCCCCCAAATAGGGAGGGATTATAGCCAATGGGATGCTTTATCTATGATCAATTGATCAACAAGATCAAATCGCCCTTTGGGGAAGTTTAGTGTGTGGTACTAAGAATACTATGACAGACAGGTACCCCATCTCTCCTACCTGGTCGATTCATCTCTTCCCTGGTAGACTCGTCTGAGACGAGTCTCAGACTCTCCAATCTGGTAGTCTCATCTCAACCTGACATTGGCAGTGGACCTATGGAGTGTGAGTGCAAGTAAATGACTCCATAGAGAAATCATCTCAGTGACTCTGAGCATCTGTAACAATGAACTATTGTCAGAGAGCTGTCTGTCAGACTCCACAGTGGTGGTGGTGTACAACTTTCACAAAAATAATATCCTTAATCCTCTTCACTGTTTTCCCTAAAGTACCTATGATTTACTCAAGAAAATCCTCTACCAGAACTTGGAATTCAAAGTTTTAAAAATGAATGTTAAAAATTGTTTTTACATGTAACTGGGGAAAAATAAAATACTCTATAAAAGCTTTAAAAAATCCTCTACCAGAAGATGTAGGAAATTTGGAACACTAATGCATTATTTGTGGAGTTGTGAACTGATCCAACCATTCTGGAGAGCAATTTGGAACTATGCCTGAAGGGCTATAAAACTGTGCAAACTCTTTGATCCAGCAATACCAGTACTAGGTCTGTATCCCAAAGAGATCATAAAAAGGGAAAAGGACCCACATCTACAAAAATAATTGTAGCAGCTCTTTTAGTGGTGGCAAAGAACTACATTTTTATAGTGTCGTAAAAGGACTAATTTATATCAAATTAAACATGTCCCATATTGAAATAACAATATCCTTGAGGACATTGAGCCCATCAATTGAGGAATGGCTGAACAAGTTGTGGTATATGAAGGTAATGGAATATTATTGTTCTATAAGAAATGTTGAGCGGGTGGATTTCAGTAAAACCCGGAAAGACATGTGAACTGATGCTGAGTGAAGTGAGCAGAGCTGGGAGAATATTGTACACAGCAACAGCAACATTGTGTGATGATTAATTATGATAGACTTAGATCTTCTCAGCAATACAATGATTCAAGATAATTTCAAAAGACTCATGATGGAAAATGCTATCTACGTCCTGAGAAATAACTATGGAGTCTGAATGCAGATTGAAACATATGAGTTTTACTTTTGTTTTTCTCATGGTTTTTCTCTTTTGTTCTGATTCTTCTTTCGCAACATGATTAATGTGGAAATTTGTTTAACATGATTGTACATGTATAGCCTAGATCATATTGCTTGCTGTCTTGGGAAGGGAAGGAAGGAGGAAAATTTGGAACTCAAAATTTTACAAAAGTGAATGTTGAAAACTATCTTTACATGTAATTGGAAAAAATAAAATACTATTAAGGGAAAAAATAAAAAAATCCTCTACCAGCATGGCTTCCCATCCTATTTCACATCAGATTGAGACTCCCCAATTTGTGTCATAGTTTTTGGTCTACCTTACTCAATAGCCACCATGTATATTATTCCAAATGTAATAGAAAAGACCAAAAGAACCAATAGCACATCAGAATACCTCCCTTCTCACACCTCCTACCAACAGACCGACGAGTCTCCCCTTTACAGAATTCAGCATAATATCTTGATCCACTCCACCACACCATGCCTCTTTTTTTCTCTCTCAAACTGTGGTTTTTATTCTTTTCTTTTTCTCACTCTCTGAACCTCAGCACCAGTGGTAGGGGTGGAAGTGGGATAGGAGCCCTAGAAGCAGCTAATTGATAAGATAATTTACACTCAACCAAGTAGGCCTCAAAGATTCAAGCACAGAAGCACAGAACTCTGGAAAGTCCTTGTAAATAGGGCACCAGGCTTTCCCAAACACACAGACCTTTCAGACTGACAGACCTTCAAAGATGGTGGCAGGTCAAGTGCAAGGACCCCTACTCATTTGCAAGTATAAGCCAAATGGTCTGCAGATGACAGTTCCTTTCGTCTATATACATTCACCCTAAATTCCATTGGTCGTTGCTCTACTATGCATACATTGACACAGCTTCATACCTGGAGAACTCTCCTCGTACCGATCGAAGGGCAAGAAAAATTCTCAATAAAGGAAAACATTAATTCCTGTTGATGCAGAGATCACCTCCAGGTCTTAATGGAAAGGATGTGGACCAGAAGAGATGACCTGAGAGCTAGCTCATCACCTTCATGCCCCAGAGTTAGCAAAATATTTCCATCAATACCATCCTACTTCCTAGACTCTAGGGCCCAGAAAGACTCTCTGTAGAGGGCAATGGGTCCTATGCTTTGCAGTTTCCATAGAGATATGTTAAGACTGTAGTATGACAAGAGTTTAGGTGAATTTGGAGAGTGAAGCCAGCCAGCACCTTGGCAGATTTACAACTTAAATGTGCCCATGCAATCACTGACTGTGTAAATTAAACCTATGTCTTTAGCTCAGTTTCTTAACTGGGACTTGTCACTGAATAATAGAAAATATTTATCTAGTGCTTTAAGATTTACAAAGTTTAAAGGTATGGCTATATTTTGGCCCATCTTGTGCAACTGCTGTCCATGTTCTTCCAGCTTTCTTTGCTTTCTCCTGACATCACAATTCATCCCTCAACCTCACACAGGACCAGTCCATCTTTTCTTATTATAGGTGATAAGAAAAGATGTGACTCTTGTTCTTCTTCAAAGTTCCTCCTTGGTAACGTGTTGCGGACTGTTCAAGCTCATCATGCGATATTGCTTTCTGTGATACCATTTTCAGTTCTTTGGAGACTGTTGTCTTTCATGCTTTACATCCTTTCAAGAACACTTCTAGGATATTTTTTGGGAGGCAATTGGGTTAAATGACTTGCCCAGGATCACACAACTAGATTTGAATCAGGTCTCCCTGACTCCAGGGTTGATGCTGTATCCATTGCACCACCTAGCTACCCCTTCACTTATAGAATATTGGCATTAAAATGATGGGCCTTTATTTCTGGAAGAAGCTTGGGGGTCATTAAAGGAGCTTTGTAATTTAAAGGCAATCCAGCCTGATCTCCTCCTGTTTAATTTTGGGTACTATATGCATTGGGCAGCCAGATGATGCAGTGGACAAAGTGCCGGGCCTGGAATCAGGAAGACTCATCTTCCTGAGTTCAAATCTGACCTCAGACACTTACTATGTGACCCTGGTCAAGTCACAAGCCTCAATTTCCTCACTTATGAAATAAGCGGGAGAAGAAAATGGCAAACCATCTAATGTCTTTGCCAAGAAAACCTTAAATGGGGTCACAGACACAATTGAAATGACTGAACAACAACAACAACTATATGTATACTGATGGACAAACTTTATAGGTTTATGGCAGCTACATGGTGGCCTCAAACTCTTACTAGTTGTGTGATTCTGGGCAAGTCACTTACCATCTCTTTGTCTCAGTTTCCTTATCTGTAAAATGGGGATAACACCTACTTCCCAGTGTAGTTGTGAGGATCAAATGAGATAATTATGAAGTGCTTACTTAGCACAGTGCCCGGCACATAAGAAGCACTATGTAAATATTAATTACTATTATTAGACATCATAGGCTGTCCATTCATGTCTGGGCAATATCCGTCTTTCATCCACTTTGTCTTTCCTGTAGTCAGCATTACAGATCTCTTCCAGGGGGCTCTTCTAATGTTTCTGTGCTTGAGGCAACCACCATAATGAGGCAGCTAAGTGGCACAGTAGTGAAGAGTGCTGAGTCTAGAGTCAGGAAAACCTGAGTTCAAATCTGACCTCAGACACTTACTAGTTGCGTGACCCTGAGCAACTCACCTAACCTCTGTTTGCCTCAGTTTCCTCAGCTATAAATAGAGAAAATAATAGCACCTCCCTCTTAGTGCTGTTGTAAGGATCGAAAGAGACAATATTTGTAAAGCGCTTAGCACAGTAGCTGGCTATATATAGTAGTATACATACATACATACATATTATATACATACATACATAAATATGTATATATGTGTATATATATATAATATATATATATATTATATATATATATATTAGGGACTATACAAATGCTTATTCCCTTCCCTTTTCTATCCACACACAGTATCATCTGGAGGATCTTACAATTCATGTTGTTGTTATTCAGTCATTTCACTCATCTCTGATTCTTTATGACCTCATTTGGGGTCTTCTTGGCAAAGATAGTGGAGTGGTTTCCATTTCCTTCTCCAGCTTATTTTACAGATGAGGAAACTGAAGCAAACAGGGTTAAGTGATTTGCTCAGGGTCATAATCTAGTTAGTGTCTGAGGCTAGATTTGAACTCAGGAAGATGAGTCTACCTGTAACACCTAGCTGCCCCTAGCTTATGATCCACAGGGAATTGTTTTTCAGTCTGGACTCTTCACTGGATCATCTCCATTACCATAACAAACACATTTGGTAAACATACATTTCCCAATTATTTCCCAATAAATTTTCCAATTTCCCAGTGTTTCTGATTAGAGGCTGTTAGAGGTTATTCTATTATTATATCTCTCAAGGAGTCTTAAATGATTTTTATGTATGAGTGGGAGACATGTTGTTGTAAGAAAGCTTTGTAGGCGGCATTTTGCTCTACTGAATCAAATACTTTTTCTTATTCTGAAAACAATAAACACAGTGGAATTTTATAATCTCTATGTTTTTGTCAGTTGTGAAATGGTAAATATGGAATAGGTCCATTATCGACTGGGAAAGCCTGCCTGTTCCCTACTAATACCTTCACTGAGGATGCCCTAAATGTATGTGTAGATGAATCTCACAAATATTTTATGTTTATAAATTATAAAGGAGAAAGTAGGAAAAAAAAGTAGGTATTCAGATTGGTAGCTGTTGATGTTCTCAGTCACCTTTTTCTCAGTTCTAGTAAAGTTCAAACTTTATCCCCATGCCTCTGGTGCCCTCCCCTCTCCAGATACCTTGTGACTTGATCCCTCAACACCCTCACTATAGTGTTGTCTACAGCCTGGATATCCTCTCTGTAACATGGCTAATTTTCTTCTCTTTGTTCCCTTTTGTACCGTTTCTAGACCTCCTCTAAAAGCACATCTGGGGCTTTGATGTTATAGTCCAAGTGTGGTGGCTTGGTATCCTTAATGATGAAAACAAGGAGTT